TCCTGCCCGCACCCTGCGTCCGTGCCCGCGCCCCCTCCCCCGGGCCCCGCCATGGGCCTCACCGTGTCCGCGCTCTTTTCGCGGATCTTCGGGAAGAAGCAGATGCGGATCCTCATGGGTGAGGCAGATCGAGCGCGCGGCCGGGACGGAGCGCCGGCCCCACGCAGCCCTCCCGCCCCCGCGTCTCCCCAGCCCAGATCACCCGGGTCTCTGATTCCCCCCAATCACCCACCTTCAAACCCCGCGGCCGCTGCCCTGGGGCGGGTCGCGGTCTGCGGAGCCGCCTCCGGGGCCTGAGACTAGGGGCTGCGGGCCTGGGTGGGGTGAAGCTTCCTCCGCCCCAGCCCGGTTGGTAAGAAGGGAGGATTCCGCCCTTGGAGACGACTTTTTAAAGGAGCGCTGCCCTCCTGCCCCTCACCCCCAGCCCTCTGCGGCCGCTTGCCCGCGGGGCGATAGGAGCTGGCTCTCGCCACCCTGGTAGCCCTCAAGGCCCGGAAGGTAGCTAACAGCGCGCACCTGGAGGCGCTCGGGCTCTCCGCCCGCATCCCCGTCAGCTGTTCTGGCCTCTCCCCTTCCCTGGTCTCTAGGGGGCTCCCTCGCTCCCATCTGCATCCCTGTGCCCCTCTCCGTTGCAGTTGGCTTGGATGCAGCCGGCAAGACCACAATCCTGTACAAACTGAAGTTAGGGGAGATTGTCACCACCATCCCCACCATTGGTGAGTCCGGGGACAAGGCCGGGAGGAGCGGGATCGCGGCCGCGGGCCTCTCAAGAGTCTGCACCCCATTCTGCCGGGCTGGGGGCGCTGACCCTGACATCAGATACCGGCACTTGAGAAGTGGGTCACAGTATCTTCCTGCAGTCGGCCAGCCCCAAGCTGGTGGACGTGACTGGCCCCGCCCCATCTGTGATCTGTCTTCTCGGCTACTTTCCTATGGGCCTTGATCATTTGTCTTCCGGGTTTGTGTCCCTAAGGAATCCCAGTAGTTTCAGTGACTTCCTTCCGCTCAGGACTTTTTCCTCATTTCCCAACCCTCTTCTCCTCGCCCCCCCCCCCCCAATTATTTACAGGCTTCAACGTGGAAACAGTGGAATACAAGAACATCTGTTTCACCGTCTGGGACGTGGGAGGCCAGGACAAGATTCGTCCTCTGTGGCGGCACTACTTCCAGAACACTCAGGTATAGGAGATAGTGGGGTCTCCCCTTCAAGAGCACTCAGGTATAGGAAGAAGTGGGGTCTCCCCGTTAGGAAGGTTAGGTGTTGGCCTTGGTTGGGTTCCAAGACCAGGAAAAAAATCCTTACACCATCTACTCCCTGCCCTTTTATAGGCTAGCTTTGCAGTTCAGAATTGAGCTGGGTCTTCTGAGGCTTAGCCGCCTTAGACTTAAAAGCAAAGCTCTGGGTCCACACTACCTGATAAGCTCCCCTCACTTGTCTTTCCTGTTTTGTTCTGTGTCTTTTAAGGAGTCTGCTTGCCTGAGGGCTGAGGCTGTCCTTTGCAGTGTCTATAGGTTGTGCCCAGGTCACCTGCAGAGCCTTAGTGACAGTTTGCTAGAGGAAAAGGGTTTAGACACAATCAGAGGGGGAGAAAAAAGGCAGACAGGGTATTCCCAAGTGGAAGCGATTGTTCTCCCTCCCTCCCTCCCCTCCTCTTTCCAGGGCCTCATCTTTGTGGTGGACAGTAATGATCGCGAGCGGGTCCAGGAATCTGCTGATGAACTCCAGAAGATGGTGAGCACCCAGAGCCCTGGGACCTGAGCCCTTGGTTTGGGAGAGATTTCTGTGCTGGTGGGGAATGTTCCACAGATTTTGAAGGCAGAGAAATGTATTTCTTTTTGTGGACACGGATGTGGTTGTAGCTCATCCAGTTTTGAGTGTGGGTGATGTTAAATAGTATAAGTTGGCTTTTTCCTTGAGTTATTTTACTTTTCCATCTGAATCAGAGAAATGATATGTGGTGGAGATATCATCTTACAGTCTTGGATTTTATTTAGTTATTTTTGTCATTTGACTTCATACTCAAATTTGAAACACCCCCTTTCCGGATAGAGGCCTGAATGTCTCAAGCTTATTTATGGCTGGGCGTCTTGTGTTTAGCACTACTCTCCACACCAATATGTCTTTCCCACAAATAAACTAGAATATAGGAGAGGAGACTCCCATACCCAGCAAAGAAGAGGAGGAAGCCTAGGGAACCCCCAGGGCCACAGATTCACCCCCTTTGCCTCTTTCAGCTACAGGAGGATGAGCTGCGGGATGCGGTGCTGCTGGTGTTTGCCAACAAGCAGGACATGCCCAACGCCATGCCCGTGAGCGAGCTGACGGACAAGCTGGGGCTGCAGCACTTACGTAGCCGCACGGTGCGAGTCCTACCTCTCCCCAAAAACCAGAGGCTGGGGCAGGAAAGTAAGAGCCCCCACTTTCTTTCCTGCTGCTGACCTCTTTCCTTCTCCCCACAGTGGTATGTCCAGGCCACCTGTGCTACCCAAGGCACAGGCCTGTACGATGGACTGGACTGGCTGTCCCACGAGCTGTCGAAGCGCTAACCAGCCAGGGGCCCGCCCCTGCTGCCCGGAAGCTCCCGCGTGCATCCCAGGGAGGACCAGACTCCCGGACTCCTCAGGCAGTGCCCTCCCTCGTACACCTCCCCACACGGGCCTGCTCCTGCTCCTCCCTGCATGTTCTGTTGTTGGAGCCTCAAGCCTCGCTCTCTGGGCATGGAGGGGCTGCTCTCCTGCCTTCCGGGACGTGTGGAAGCGGCTCCAGGGCCAAGGCCCCTTCTTCCAGAGAAGGAGCAGGGATCTGGGTTTTCTTTTTGTTTTTTCCATTTCACGTGTACCCTTGGGGCCAGGTGGGGAGGGAAGTGGGGGCTCCGGGTGGTGCTATGATGTGGCACTGGATCTTCAGTAATAAATTTGCTGTGGTTTGTACACGGTGTTGTCTGTAGCTAGAAGTGGGAGGGTGGTGTTGCCGGGTGTTTGGGTGCAACGAGACAGTACGAAGGTGCTCAAAGCAGCTAAAGCTGCAACACAATCCCCTTCTTCCACCACCCCCATTTCACCCCACTACACATTGATGCCTTCAGCTAGCTCAGCTTTTCTCCTTATTCTTAATGCTTGAAGTACCGGCATCAAGTTCCAGTGGAGGAAATCCCATTCCTTCTCCAATTCCAAGGGAACATTCCTGAATGTCACAGGATCTATCTCCATGGTTCTGTAAACCGCATGACTCCCACTTCCTGTCCATCTCCTAGCTTTTTAGAGCAGTGGTTCTTAGCAGTTCTTCGATTACTCCATTTGGCTCATATTGTAAACCACTGGTACAACTTGTTCTTCGATTACTCCATTTGGCTCATATTGTAAACCACTGGTACAACTTGGGGATTGTAGTTCCTCACTATGGACCACTCTACCTAAGAAGACACCCCCCCACCCCCCTGTGGGGAATAAGAAAGCATGCAGGGGGCCAGGAGTGTGGGTGTGTTCTCCAAGTGGGCTTCCCTGCCTGCTTCCCTGTTACCACCATGCCTTTTGTCTTTTTCCCTTTTCCTTTCAGCTTGTCAGTTTCTCCAGGTTTTGGACTGGTTTTCTCAATCAACTTTGTAGGATGTGAGTCCCAGAAGCTAGTAGCCACAGAGCCCTGGAGTGGGTGGGGGACATCTGGACCCTTAGACACAGCGCTGGCTGCTGCCCAGCAGCTGAGCCACTGGGGTCTAGGAGCTGGGACCTGTATCTTCCCCACTAGGCTGTGCTCCTTTCTGATTAAGTGAGTAATGGAGCCTTGCCTGTTACTGTCCAGGTCTTCCTCATTCTCCCTGAAAAGTATCTTCTTGACTCACTGTTCTCATCCCACCAAGGGCTATAAGAATTAACATGTTTTTCCTGACTATCTTGAATTCCAGTAACGCTTGAGCTCCAAGGTTGCCAGGCCTAACCCACTTCCTAGAGAGAAAAGAGGTTGGTTTCTATCTTGTTACTAAAATGAGAAACAGGAGAAGAGGAGGGGCTTGCCTGAATCCCAGGAAGTCTCTGGCATCAGCTGAAGTTCTGGTTCCCAGCCTTAGCTCAGGCTTCCTTAATGCCTAGAGGCATGGGGCAGCCAATGCCAGAGGCCCTGGACCCATTTGCTCTGGACATGGATTAATGATGCTGGGCCAGTGCCCTTACCCTGCTGGTGGGATAAGCTGAGGCCTGACAGTCACAATGCCCCCGGGTCACAGAGGCACTGGGCCTAGGCCAGTCTGCCTGGAAAGTTCCCTCTGGGAACGTCTTCCAGTGGGCACGTTGGGCCTTTATTCAGGCCCTATGGCCTGTGGGACCTCACCACTGGGGGGAAGGCTGGGCCGGAGGGAGTCATCACTTGTGGTGCCGGTCCCATGGATGAGGTGGAGTGGACGCAAAGACAACCCAAGGCTGAGGACCTAAGGGTTGGACTCATTAGCTGGGCAGGAAATTACCTAACTTTTGAGACATACAAGGGTACAGTCACTGCTACTGCAAAGGGTTTGGGCCGGAGACAGGTAAGCTGACCTATACTGGACCCAGTTTCCCAGTGGTGAGCTCTGTGCCCACAATTGTGTGTGTGTGTGTGTGTGTGTGTGTTGGGATGGGCCTGGGGGAGTCACACAAATGTTCATTCCCAGACTAGTGGTTTTTCTCCCCTCATCATCGCCAGACCAAAACTCTTGTACTCCAAATATTTGTGCACAGGTTTCCAGAGCTCAATCTCCCCATCTCTCCACCTGTTCCATGAGGTAACACCTCAGCCCTGATCTTGCTGCCTTGCCTTTCACTGGCTGCTCCATACCCCACATCCCAGCGCCCAGTGGTTGTGTCATTCACAAAGTGAACAGTGCAGAGTCCAGAGTGCAAGGCAGAATTGTGGGCATTTGGGATGAAGACACCGTGGTGTTGCTGCAAGGCCTGCACCTCTGTTCTGGTTGTAATTTGAGAATGGTGTACTCAGGAAGCCCTAGGAGAGTTGATTGCATTTTAGAGAGGGGTGTAGCTCCCTCTGGAATGGTGCTACAGAGGGTGGCAGAAGTAGGGCCTCTTACTTGTAACTGCTAACCAGAAGATAGCATCTGGGCTTTCTGGGCTCCCACCCTCACCGCTGGAGCCAAGGTCTGCCTTGTTGGCATGGTGGCTTTGGGGATGGCCATGTTGAGTGAGTGTGCTGTCCAAGAGCAATAGTGAGGAGAAAAGTAACCTCATGTCTTGTACCAAATCATGTCTTCGAAACTAGGTGTTGAAGGAAGGGGTCAAGGAAGAGAGGTTTGCCTTCTGTTAGCTGGAGGAAGTGGGCATCTAGAGCTTCTCTTAGCAACTTGAGAAACCTATAGTTCCAGTGGCAAAGGAACCCAAAAATCCTTACTGTTGGATGGGAGCATGGGAGAGCTGAAACAAGGAGGCCATTGTGGAGAGAAAGGTGGTTGTTCTCCAAAAGGGGCTGGGTGAGCTGGGCAGGGCTCCTCAGTCTCAAACTTGGCAGGACTGATGTCCCATTCTCCTCCCACGCCTCTAGACTTGGGAGGTCCTGGTGAGCAGTGAGCACGAGACCCAGGCTATAGTACGACTCAGGAGCTTTCAGGGTCTCTACCTTCTGTGCGAGGCAAATGGCTGTCTCTGCTACGGCCGGCCAAAGACCAGCCACCATGGCTGCTTCCTGCTCCGTTTCCACCGCAATGGTAAATGGACCCTTCAGTGCATCATCAGTGGCCGTTATCTGGAGTCTGATGGCGAGGACGTGTTCTGCACCTCTCGTGTCCTGTCAGCTTACCACATGTGGACGCCCCGACCGGCCCTGCATGTCCACGTGATCCTCTACAGCCCCCTCACCCGCTGCTATGTGCGGGCTGACCCCACTGTAGGCCGCGTCTGGGTGGACGCGCCAGTCCCCTGCCTGGAGGAATGTGGCTTCCTGTTGCATTTCCAAGATGGATGCTACCACCTGGAGACCTCAACACACTGCTTTGTGTCTCACATAGACCGGCTGGTCTCCCAGCCCTCATCACAGACAGCTTTTCACATGCAAGTACGGCCTGGAGGGCTCGTGGCGCTGAGTGATGGAGAAGGAGGCATGCTGTACCCCCAGGGGGCTCGTCTGCTCCTAGGCCTGGGCTCCAATCCCCGAAGGGGTGAGGAGTGGTTCATCCTCAGACATTGTCCTACCTGGGTCAGCCTCAAGTCAAAGACTCGCAAGTTCCTCTCTGTTGTTTACGGCAAGTAAACATGGTGTCAACATGGCAGGGAGGGAGGGAGCCCTGATGGCTCATAGTGTTTGGGATCAGTGAGGGGCTTTGATCCTGCTGACAGGGAAATCCTGGAGTCTCAAGAGGATCTCCTGTGCCGTGGAGAAGGGTAGAAAGCAAGGACATGGGCTTTGGAGGAAAATGACTGGGTGTTCTCCTAGTCCAGTAGAAGTGGATGAAGGCTGAGGGGGGAAAGCCAAGGGAATCCCAGCCAGAAAGTGGGGAGGAGGGACTCAGCCTTCTTCTGACATATTCTTCCTCTGCAGATGTTGAGGTATATGCTGCCTCTGAGCACTTAACCCCGATGTCCATGTTCCAGTTTGAATGTGACAGTGAGACCCCCACCTTGCAGCTTCGTTCAACAAATGGCTGCTACCTAGCCCAGGTGAGACCTTCTGAGCTAAACCCAGAACTGATACCTTGAGACACTGTCGTCCATCCTTCAAAGCAGATGACCAGATGGTGAAGCCAGCTGTGGAGGCCTTTGTCAGTCAAGTTTCATTTGCAGCAAGTGGGCCCATTTTCATCCAATAGGCCTCTCTATTTTCAAATCAACTGTATTGATTTGAAAATAAATATAGTATATATGCAATAAAATATGTCCATATTTTATGGTGATGGCACATGGGTAATTTGGTGATGGGAAGCCCACGGGGATTGCAATTGAGGTGGAAAAATGCACAAAATGATGTAAAAACAAACTATTATTTTTTAAAAATGCATCCATATTAAGTGTATAATGTATTAAAATGTATGTAACCATGCCACAATTGTGTCACAAGTCTGAGATTTCCATCCCCACAAAACTTCCATCTTGCCCCTTGCAGTCAGTTCCCTTCCACACCCCCACACACTACCACTAATCTGTATTATGTCACTATAGATTAATCTGCCTACTCTAGAATTTCATGTAGATGGACTCATAATATGTGAGATATTTATACTTCTTTCACTTAGCATAACATTTTTGAAATGTATTCATGATATTGCAGGTATTATCATGCCTTTATGTAGCTGAGTAATGTTCCATAATACTCATATTATGTACGTGTACAACTCTTTCTATGGTCCTATGTTTTCATTTGGGTAAATACCTAGAAGTGGAATTACTGGATCATATGATCAATGTGTTTCACTTCATCAGAAAATGTCAAACATTTTCTAAACATTTCTAAAGTGACAGTCCCATTTTAGCCTGGTAAATTATAATTATTTAGAGCTACTCTCACATATTATGTATGAGAGTAATATTATCAGTGTTATAATTATTCCACATCCTTATCAACACTTGGTGTTTTTTTTTTTTCCACTTTAGTTACTTTCATCAGTGTGTAGTGGTAACTTATTGTAGCTTTAATTTGTATTTCCCCTATAATTAATAATGTCAAACATCTTTGCATGTCTTTATTGATGTTTTATATTTTCTCTTCAAGTATGTGTTTTAATCTTTTGACAATATGATTGGATTATAAAGAGCTCTTCATATGTCCTAAAGTTGTGCCAAATTTATGTATTGTATTCATAACATATTTTCTCCCAACCAGTGGTTTGTCTTTTCATTGGGTAAGTAGCATCTTTGAGTAGCAAGTTTTAAATTTTGATGAGTCCATTTGTCCACTTAGAAATGATTAATGTGTTTAGATCCCAAGAAGTCACTGTCTACCCCAAAGTTGCAATAAATTTCTCCTATATTTTCTTCTAAGTGCTTTATAGCTTTGCTTTCACTTTTATGTTTGTGATCCATTTTTTAAAATGATTTGGGAGTCAGGGCCAAGAGTCATTTCTCTATATATGGATACCAGGTCCCTTTTTTTTTAACTGGGGTACAGACCAGAGGCTCTGGGGCGGTGAGAAGCCTCACCAGAGACAGAGTGGGGAGAGAACAGGCAGATGGATGAAGTACACTGCTGAGGGGAGCAGCGGGCGGGTCAGGAGAGGTCTGCCACATCATGTGGTCACCTCCGGGGCAGGCGGGGATCGAACTCATACAGAAGTGGCTTTAGCTTCTTAGTGCTGTGCTTTAACCCGCTGCGCCACCAGGGAGGGCCCCAGGTCCCTTTTTAACCCTGGACTTGAAGGGGTGGGGAGTCAGGGGAGCAGCATGGACTAGGGCAGCAGCAGAGGCCAAATCTTCCCCAGAAAGGATCCATAAAGCATACTTGGAGGAATAAAAGAAAATGCTGGTGGGTGGGAAGTGGGAAAAGTCCAGGAATCAAAATGATGGGAAGATGTCTGAGATTATTGCTCCTGTCCCTGTCACAATATTCTCTGCAGAGGCACCATAGGACTGTGATGGCAGATGGTCACCCACTGGAGTCTGACACCTTCTTCCGTGTGCACTGGAATTGTGGCAAGCTCATCCTGCAGTCCCCCAATGGCCGGTTCCTGGGGATCACAGCTGGGGGTCTGCTGATGGCCAACGCCAGCATTCCAGGTGAGCAGAGCAGCCCCTTTGACAGGCTATTCCAAGTCAGGGACCCTTTCAGAGGGAGCTGGGCTATGACAGCAAGAGCACTGAAGCTGAGGGCCGTGTGCTTGCCAAGCCACTGGGTTTTTGTCATCACTCAGGCAAGCTCCCGCTTCAAGTCCCAGTTTTAAGATATGTAAAACTGAAGGGGCTACCCAACCAGCTTGATTCACAGTGTTATCACGAGGACTACAGAGTTTATGCATATCAAAGAAAGGAAGAATATGAAGACTACTTGGACCTACCCTGAACCAGGAGCTTTGTACAAATGTGACCAGCACCTCCCATGAAATTGGTGTAGATGTTCTTCAGCTGTTACCAGATCAACAACACCCTCTGCCATTACTGTCCCCCCTTCTGCTCCCATCTGGAAAAGTAGCTGATCTAGATAAGTCCTTCCTATTTCTTCCAGGCCCCACTGAAGAATTTGGGGTTCGGTTCACCAACCGCCCTTTCATTGCCTTGCGTGGTCGGTATGGATATGTGGGCACCTCGTCGGAGCATGACCTCCTGCAGTGTAACATGGACCACCCCGACTGCATCCACCTGCTGCCCTGCCGCCAGGGCATCTACCACTTCCAGGGTGGGTAGCTCCTCTTCACTCCAGGTTCCTACTCTAGCCTCCACTTTGGCCCTATCCCAGATGTTAGAGTCTGACCCTCATGGCCCGCTGAGCATAACAGGCAAAATGGGGTTCTGCTTGTTCTCACACTTCAGAATGAGATGGCAGTGGAAATCTGTAGAGTATGCACTGGTCCTCCTGCATTTCCATGGAGGTGGAGAAGGGCCATCATGGAGCAGAGTGTGCCCCTGGGGTCAACTCAGATGCCTCCCCCTCCCCCAATGGCTCACCAACCAGAGATCTTCCCTCCCCAGCACAGGGTGGATCCTTCTGGTCAATAACATCCTTTGGCACCTTCCGTCCTTGGGGAAAGTTCGCCCTCAACTTTTGTATAGAGCTTCAGGGGAGCAACTTGCTCACAGTACTCGCACCCAATGGCTTCTACCTGCGATCAGACCGAAGCGGCACGCTGTTGGCAGACAGCCAAGACATTACCAAAGAGTGTATTTGGGAGTTTTAGGTAAGGCAAAGTGGGGAAGGCCCTGGAGGGGGATACCAGGCGCCTGAGGGGCAAGAGAAGGGAGGTGGGTGGGAGGGATATGAGCTCAACAAAAACCAAATCAACTCCAGCCATGGCATCTGAGGCTGTCATCTCAGCATTTCTAAATCTCCACTTGCTGGTGAGAAGGAAAATCTCACTATTCTCCCCCTTAGCCACAGGCAAACCTCCTAGGAACAGGAGAGGTGTGCTTATTTATCTGCCTCCATTAAGATGAAGCTTTACCCCATTTTTAGGGAAGATTGCTGCCTCTGAAGTTGTGCTTTCTAAACTCTACACTCTCTATTTCTTTCTCTCTGATCTTGGGGTATTGGTGATCCCTGTTATTTATCCGCAGCCCTGACCCTTCTCCTGAACTCTAACCTCATCTCTCTCCTCAAAGTCAACCTGCTCACCCTACAAGTGATTCTTCCCTGCCCTCCCATGACCTCTCTTTCATGTCCTTTAATAAACTCTGAAAGTTCTTGGGTACTTCCTTAGCAATAGCTCCTTGAGTGCCCGCTCTTGCCACTATATATTTTGTTTTTGACCAAAAAACCTACACTGCTCCCTGGGCTCCCCAGCAGCCTTCCCTGCTGCCAGGCCCATCCCCCCCCCCCCAATCTCTTTTGCACACCAAGTTCATGCTTCCAAAAGGCTGCTTCCTTGTGTCACTCCCTACAGCGTTGCTGGGCATTGTCCATTCACCATTGAACTTGCTGTCTTGGTTAAAAAGTCATAAAGATCTGGTAGAAAGAACTTTGGCTTTGATATCATACACCCTTCGGAAATGCTATTCAATTTCTAGGCCATGGTTTCCTTATCCACTAGTGGGAATGAGATCTACTTCCTCAGGTCTTGTAAAGTTTAAATGACAATACAAATTAAGTGTGGACCCCTCATATATGTTTGTACCTTTTTTCCTTTCTGCCAGTTTTCTTCACAAGCCCTTTTCTATGGCCAAACTGGAAAAAATAAAATGAAATCCCACTGGGCCAGTTTTCTTATTCCATGAAGGGTTTGAATTGAACTAAATTCCTCAGGCTCCTTCCAGGCCTAACATTCTAGCAGACAGCGTCTTGCAGTGATGAGGAGCTCATTTCTAGACTCAGTCCTGGGTCCTAATTAGATTCGTATTTGTTAAATTCATTGTTTGACCTTGGCCAAATGAACCTCTTAAAATGTGTTTCTTGTGGGTGAAATGGGAACATAACAATTATCTTACAAGATGCTTGTGTTACATGAAATAATGATTACATGAGAGAATGACCATAGAATGCATAGTTGGCAGCCTGGCAGCAAGTATATACTCATTCTATCAGAAGTCTTCCCCATCCAGTTTGAATTCTTAGGAACTCTTACCTGTCTACTGCAGTTTCCCTGAGAACTCTGACAGTTCTAATTTTTTTAATAAATTTTTATCATCTTTTCCCCATATGTCTACTTTTGATCCCTCAGCTAGAATGAGACATATCACTGAATTCTCTTTCTTTTTATATGATCTTACCAGGTTTTCCCCCCCAAAAAAAATCCAAAATCAGCCAATGAGCAATATAGGACATTTCTGTTTTCTTCTTGCCTCCCCAGGTCAATGGTATGTCACCTACCAAAATCCAGAGCCTCCAGGAGAAATTACTACTACAGGAAACAAAACAAAATCTCGAGAGTCAAGATCCATGAGAAAAATATCTGTTACACAACTTTTCCTACCCAGTTTAGCAAAACACCTGTTTCAATCTCAACAATACAACACAAAAGGCCACCCCCAAGGCCCTGGTGTGCATCTGACTCAGTCCAGAAAAGAGGGTTAGGTGTGGTGGATTCTGAAGCGCCAGGCCACCCTAACTTCTGTCCACACGAGGAGAGACCACCTGGTAACGGGTTCTTCCATTGCTCTTCCCCATCCCCACCAGAACCACTAGATTTTTCCTTGTGATTCCAAGAGGAATTAGTCTTGCCCTGAGGCAAGAATTCAGAATTCAAAAATGACTGGATGTCCTTTTGGTTTAGAAAGGCTGGCTAATCCTTGGGCACAAGATAATGAAACGAACAGCTTAGTCTGTCTGTGCTACTCACCCTCACCCCAAAGTTGACCAACATCCCACCTTATTATTACATTTGATCTGGTCTCCAGTAAGGGGAATGACAAGAACTTCCCCCTCACTGTCCACCTGTTACTGGGACGGAAGTGATTTACCCAAGGTTGAAAGCTCTTTCTATCAAGTGTGGATTCCTCGGTGACGGTCATTCTTTTTTTTTTTTTTTAAGATTTATTTATTTGTGCATTCAGAACTGGGATACAGGCCAGAAGTACAGGGGCAGTGAGAAGCTTTGCCAGAGTCAGAGTGGGGAGCAGAACAGGCAGATCGACGAAGTACACTGCTGAGGGGAGCAGCGGGCGGGCCAGGAGAGGTCTGCCACGCCATGTGGGAACCTCCGGGGGAGGAGGGGATCAAACTCATGCTGAAATGGCTTTGGCTTCTTAGTTCCGTGCTTTAACCTGCTGTGCCACCAGGGAGGGCTGGTGACTGTCATTCTTACAGTCCTCATGGCTTTGGCTCATTTGCTATCCACCCTATTAATGCTTTTATTGACATAGACTCTTAAGCAAATTTATTTAGAAAGGGATATTTCCATCACTATTATAAAGATGGAAGATCAAAATCACTGGCCATAAATAGAAGATCATAAAAATAAATACAATGAAAACAAAGTGATGTTATTAAATCCTAGTTATATTTCCTTTCCCTGCTCAAGGCACAGAGCCTGAAGATCCTCTTTGTTCAAAAAGGGGACAAACCTCTGTTTCAGAGGCACTAACAAGTAAGGCCAAAATAAAAAATTTCTCCTTGATACACTCAGGATTGAAAAGAAGTTGAAAGGGGATCTTTTTTTTTTTTTTCCCACTTCGGACTCAGTACTATTTAAAACAGCATCCACGTGTACCCTAAGATTTTCTCAAATGTCAGTGGGGCTGCTGGCCTCTCCCCTGGGAAAACTGCACCAGACCATAAAGTGTACGCGATTTTTAAGTCCATTTGAATCCAAGTGAAGTTGAAAGCAGAACATGAGAAAGATTCCTCTTGGACAGAGGAAAATAACATTTAGCTTTTGTATGTGGCTTCCTCAAGAGACATGAAAGAATTGTGTAAAAATTGTAATCCAATAGGTGAAGCTTGAGAACAGTGGAAATGAGGTTTCTCCTTAGGGAACATAAGAACTGATCACAGGTATACTTTGGGGTTCTTTTTTTTTTTTTCCTTTCCTCCAGACATGGAGGGTTCATTTTTTTTTTTTAAAGATTTATTTATTTGTGCATACAGAACTGGGGTACAGGCCAGAGGCTCAGGGGCGGCGAGAGGCTTCACCAGAGACAGAGTGGGGAGCAGAACAGGCAGATCTACGAAGTACACTGCTGAGGGGAGCAGCGGGCAGGTCAGGAGAGGTCTGCCACGCCATGTGGTCACCTCCGGGGCAGGCGGGAATCGAACTCATGCGGAACTGGCTTAAGCTTCTCAGTGCTGTGCTTTAACCCGCTGCGCCACCAGGGAGGGCCCAGAGGGTTCATTTTTAAGAGCGTTGGGTCTTTGGACATCATTTAACTCAGAACCTGTCCCTCAGCACTCCATAAATACATACACACACCACTCGCACGTGGGCATCTCTCCCCTTCTCCCCCTGCTGCACCCCCACAAGCAGCCACCTAGCTTCAGCCTGAATGTGTTCAGCCATGGCCTCAGCTGACAGCTCCTACCCTTGCTGACGTCCATCTCGTCCCTGAAGTGGATGCTGTGGGCAGACTGTCACCCCCATAAAGCCATGCCCACTTTCCTAGGCGGTCTGTCCAGCAGAGTCTGCAGCTTGAGGGTGAGGAGGCAGAGCAGGGACAGAAGGTGTTGTTACTGCTGGAATTTCATTCTGGGGCTGTCTGGTCCTATAGAACCTTCTGTGTTGATAGAAATGCCCTATCATCTTTATTGCCCAATACAAGAGCTGGGCCACATGTGATGATTGGGCATTTCACATGTGCTTAGTGTGAGCGAGATGCTGACTTATTATTTCTTTTTAATTACATGTAAATAGTCACATGCAGTTGTGTCTATTGGACAGCACAGCTCTGACAATAAAAGAGTGTCTCTAGAAGGAGGGGCAGGGGATCACAAAGAAGTAGCAAATCCAGGCACTTCTGGACCAGCACCTGTTCCAGATGGGAGTAAACAACAAGGCCCCTCTTCCCCCATGCACCCCATTTTACACCATCATCCCATCTCTTGCTCTTTAAAAAGAAGAGAATTCGGAGGCATGGGCCCATCCTCCGTTCTGAATATCCCCTTGTTCAACTGTTTTTCTGACTATTCCTCTCCCTGCATCCTGAGACTTCCCAGGAGGAGCCTCTAGATTTCCCTGAAGGAGGAAAAAATTGAGAAGATAGGGAATGTACTGCCAAGCACATGAATCCAGCAAACACACCCAGAAGCAAAGGGACAAGCAGACTATGAAGAAAAGGCATTTCCACTCTTGCTTTGCAAAAAATGCATGTGCAACCTAGGCACTTGTCTACTCTTTTCGATTAAGGAATTGTTAGAAATTTTCCCAGGAATGGTAATGTGGTTCTGTAAGAAAAGATGCTCATTTTTTGGAGATGTATGCTGAAGGCCTTCGGGGTGATGTGCCATTTGAAGGTGTGTGCCTGTGTGAGCACCCAAACACCAAGATTGGTACATGAATATATACAATACATATGTAGATAGCTTATGTACACAGCTACATAGACGGGGCATTGGGTAGATGGTAGATAGGTAAATATTACATAGATTCAATAAATGACCAATACATAGATTTCTAGATAAGGCAAACCCTCTATCATCACTAAATAAGGGTGGGAATATTACTACTCATGGAAAGCCATGGTGGACAACAGGGACTGATAATTAAAAATGACTTTATTGCTGCCAAGTGGCCTCGAGACCGGTGTGAGAAGCTGCAGGCACTGCCTCTCCAGCGCCTCCTGTCGGGACTGGCAGGGACAGTGAGGCAGGGTCAGGCCAGGGTGAAAGGGCACACAGGTGAGACAGGGGAGGAGGAAGGGGGAGCGATGCTTGGGCAGGACTATTTAGAACCCTCCCACCCCACTTCCTTCCCACTCCGGCCCTGTCCCCTCATCACTGGCCTTGTAGTAGTGGGGAACCAAGCCACCGCAAGTCCTGAGGGGCACCAAGACTGGGGGTGGGGGCAGTGGAAGCAAAGGCAGAGGTGATAAAGTACCAAATCCAGGGAAGTCAGATGTAGGGTGTAGGCAGCCTGTAGGGACAAAAAGAGTGAACTTGGGTCTGCTGCCACCACCCCACCCCTCAAAGTCATTGATGGGGAGAAAGGCAGACTTCAACTCTTCTTCCCTAGACACATACACTCAAGTCGCAATCCCACTAGCCTCTCCTGCCAAGGCTGTCAATGCCACTACAGACTCAGGGGATACTGGTCTCCCCCACTTTGTGGGCCATGCAAGGAGGAGGACCATATCAAGTTTCCTCTCCAAATGGAGAGCCATGCCTTCTTGTGGGCCAAGGAGTCAGTCCCTGGAGGCCTGAGCCCTGATCTGCATTCTTACCCCAGCAGGGCTTGAGACAGGCTTGGGCTGGGCTGTCGCTTAGACATCTGTGTGGTGCTGTCCCCCAGCACAGCTGATAGCAGGAGGGACCCAAAGATTCCAAGGCCGGCCGAGCTGCTGTGGGTGCAATGCCAGGGGGCTGCTGGAGAAAGCAAGCGGAGGCCCGCAGCTGCCAGTGCTGCCTCCCTGTTTAGCAGGATGCGACCCCAGGGGTCCCACTACGCACCCTGTGTTCTGTATCTCTCCAGAAACACCTTTCACATAGAATAGGAGGAGGCCACTTTCTGGAAGTGTGCACTAGGGAGGCCCTGGGGAGTCATGGGCTTTAGCTCAGGAGAAGCAGTGAGCCCTTCAGCCTTCCCAGTTCACAGTCTTCCCCTCTCTTCCCAGTTACCTGTGCAGAGATGACCCCCGGGGAAGCACTGTGTACAGTCAGATCCTGGGAAGCACCTGCAAGGTGAGTGTGGATTCACTCAGAGGGAGCAACAAGGGCCTGGGATAGCGGGCAGGCAAGTGAGAGGTGTGGAGTAGATGTAGGGAGGTTCTAGCAGCTTCTGCAGGAGTGGGAAAAGATGGATGATAAGGTCCTAAACTTCTCTCCTCCTAAGCATGGCTTCGGGAGACCAGAGAAGATAGATTAGGTCCAAAGCCTGGTAAATTGGGAACTTTCCAGCACTGAATAACAGCATCTTAATATGGAACCTGGCATATGGGAGGTGTGTAGATGGATGCATGGATGCATGGACCGATGGACAGATGGACGACTGCCTGGGTGGATGGACAGATGGATGACTGCCTCAGACTGCACGGATGGACAGGTGGATGGGGAGATGTACAGACAGAGGACAGATCAGTGGATGGGAGGGTATGTAGGTGAATGAGGTGCAGAGAAATCACCTGGTTGTTGCATTTCCCACTTAAGCTTCTCTTGTCGGCGCCATTTGGCTCTTCGGTTGGAAAACCAGACCTGAGGGTGGGCAGAAACAGCACAGCTGACCGTGCCTCTGGGTCCCTGGCACCTAGGCACTCCCCACAGGCTCCTGAGCAAAGCTCAGAGCACAGGTCCTTCCTCAGTCTGACACCATCCTTCCCTGCTCTGAAGGCTTGGAGTGGAGAAGAGAACAATCAGCAGAAGGGGGGTGTGGAGGATCTTATCCATTTCCCCTGCATAACCCCCTTCTCCACCTGGCATGATCCCAACACCCTGCCAGTAGACTCCTCGTGGGTCATGCATCTGCACACAAAGACACACTCACCCTTACTGTGTCCTCGGGCAGAGAGGTGGCAGCAGCCAGCTTGCCACGGGTCACTGAGTCAGGATACTGTCCACGCTGGAACTCTGCAGAGAGAGTCACATAGCCAGGACAAGACCTGGTCCCCCCAGCCTAAAGCCTGCCTCTCTCAGCCTCAACTCACCGGCCTCAGGACTGCGCCCCAAGCTGCATGGAGAACCCTCTGACCCACCACCCACCCAGCCTGAGCACCTTTCTCTAGAGCCTCGGCTTGGTCTGGGGAGAAGATAGTCCGATTCCGGTGGCTGGTCCCTGGGTGGGGACCCCGAGGAATCTCAGAGTCGCCATGGGGAGTACGAGGAACTGGAGCCAAAACAACTGCAAAGGGGAATAATGGTCTGTGGTGGCCTGTGAGGCTGATTCCTGGGTGCGAGAAGTCCCACCCCTCATCCCCGGGAGCTGTGAACAAGGACTGAAGGGCTCTTAGCACAGAGCCAGCCTGATCGGACGTTCACAGTTACTGGGCAGTTGCTGTAGGGGTACTTGGTGGGAATCAAGTTCAGTGCCATGGTGGAGTACATGCTTAGAGCTTTGGGGAAACAGAGGGTTTGTCCAATTTCTCATCACCCCATAGAAGGATGTTCTGAGAAGTGTGAGGAGGGCAGAGGCAAGGTGTCGAAGGCTTCGTCCTGCCTCTTCTTCAGCAGATCCTGTGGGCATGGGAGCTTGGAGAACTGCCCAGGACCTGCTAAACAGCTGGGGACCTTGGGAAACTCACTCCCATTCTCCGAGCTTCTAATTTCTTCTGCCAGCAGAGAATAAGACTCCCTGCTAGGCCCTCCTTATGGTCTTGCTGGGAGGTGATCCAAGAAAGATGGAGAAAGGGCCTGAGGAACTATGAACTGTACAGATGGACTCTGATTCTCCCAGGGGTAGTTTGGAGACGCACCTGGGGACCTGAGCTGTGTCCAGGGCAGTGGATGGTCCTCCTGCAGCGCCCGTAGAACTCGGTTGATAGAAGAGACCTGGGGGTGTCATTGGGTGGGGAAATAGTATACAGACTTGAGATGCCTCCTGAAAATATTTCCCCAATATCCCTGTTCCCCTTCATCCCGACCCACACATGTCCCCAAGGACAGCCTCCTCTCTCTCAAGCTTTCACCACTGCTACTTTTCAGAAGGGAAGCGTATGGGTCAGAAGATTTCCCAGGGCAACCACCCCTAGCCTGGTGAGACGAGATCTTTCTCTCCCCGGACAGCCAGTTGGCCAAGCCTGGTGCAGAGATGAGAGGCACTTACACTGGGTGTCTTGTCCTGTGTGCAAAGCCCTTCTGCACAGAGCTGGCGCTGGATCTCCCAGGCAAAGAGGGCTGGGCGCTCACCCTTGAGCTGGGCGATTCGAGCCACCACAGGGGGTGTGGCCAGACGTGGCTTGCTCCCCCCAATGCCCTGGGGCTCCAAGACACCTGTGCGGTAATAACGCCCCAGGATCTTGCTCACACAACCATTAGACACCTGGGTAGGTAAGAAAATGGGTCAGGAAAAGCATCATGGATAGAAAGAGGCGACAAAGTAACGTGAGACTTGTTGGACCAGGCCAGAGGGTCAAGAGTCCAACCTCACCTTTGGGGGGTCTCAAGTTTCCCCTCCCAGTTCCCAAGAGGGTCTTCTAGAAGGTATCCCCGATTCCCTAAGGCCCTCAGAGTGCACTAGATGCCTGTCTTGAATGGGACCCCTTCTCCCTGCTTCTTGTCCCCCTCCCTGGATGTAGGTCCCAGCTGGCCACCTTAAGGCTCCGTGAGATGTCACAAGGGCGCATTCCGCTGACTGCGAGCTGCACAATCTGCTGCCGGGTGTCCAGAGGCAGGGGCCGCCCATTCACAAAGAGCCCTCCCAGTTGATTCACACTGCTGATCCCTGGGCAACAGACAGAAGCTCAACATACCACCCCCTGGCCCCACCAGCCCACCCTTGGCTAGAAGAACATCCCTGAGACAGGGTGACTCCAACCCCACACCTCCCCCCCATCCTGGCTTCCCATCCCAGAGAAAGTTTCTCCCCAAAAAACTGCTCCCCTTTTATTTCAGGGATCCCACACACATGCCACTTTCTTTGGGAGCTTGCTTGTGGGTGAGTCTTTGCTCTGTGGCCATATGCACTAGTGTTGTAAGGGGAGTAGGGTGGAGGAAAACAAGGCTCCCCGAGAACACTGACAGATAAAATCACTCTAGATCCTCCCACCACCACCAGCCTCCCTGCCCTCCCCTCCACTCCCAAGCTGCCTACCTTCCTGCTGCATGCTCCCGTTAAGCCTCACTGAAGGCCAGGAGCTGGGAAGCCTGGGAAGTTTCTCCCCGGACTCCTTCTCTGGTCTTAGAGCCGGGCCAGCAGCCAGTGAGGGGTATTTGGGAGAATGTCTTGCCTGGAGTGGTGTTGGGATGTGGGGTTTGGTGATAGAGGCTCCAGTATCCAAAATATGAGAATGGGTTGCCTAAGGAAATAAGAATTCTCTCGCTTTAAGCCCATGAACTGGCATCATAGGGCTAGCTGAGGACAACTCGGGATGTCCTGATAGGGCCCCGTTCCTCACACATCCATTATAACCATTCAGTGATCAGAGAACTCTGATTCTAAAGTCTCAGACTTACCCTTTTGCAAATGACAGCTGCCAATTCTGACCCCTGAAAAGTCTTTGCAGCCCTCGGTGATGTGCAGAGACCAGGGCTCTAGCCTCCCAACACAGACCTCAGTAAGGTCAAAACCCAACACTTAGTCTATCCTTTCAGGGGTCCATTCAGTGACCAAAGATCCCGATTGCCCTGGCCCAAGGCTGGAGATGCTGAGTGCCCAAGTTCTGGTCTCTACACCCCCAACCAGGCTAGGTCCTGCAAACCACCAGCCAGAAACCTCCCTGCCGAGCAAGCGACTGGAGCGAGGGCGGGTCTAGCTCGTGATGCTGTACTTGCTCTGGGGAAGGGGGGGCTCGGCCATACCGCCAGGCCCTGAAGTTCTGGTCCCACACTTCAGAAGTGGAAATGAACAAGCCTGAAGTCCTGGCTTCTCCCTAAAGACCCTCCATTTAGCAACTTCTGTCTTGTTGGGGTTGTTGATTCCTGTTAATTCTAAAGAAACTTAACCCAGAGAACAGGTCTCTGGGATCAGACACTCACCTAATTCTCTTCCGGCTGGCGTGTGGGAGGGCGGAGCGGTAGGTAGGGTAGGAGCAGACCTCCTGGGCTGAAGCCACCACTTGCTGTTCTTGAATTTTCAGCAAGTAACTGGCAGGGTTGAGCCTGCCTCCCTTCACACCAGACAGGGTTGAGACTGACCCCAGAGAATGACTAATGCACAGATCTTTCCTGGAATCACCATGGCGTTTTGGCTCAGTTAACCCATCGGCCATTTACTGACTAAAGAATGAAGTGATTGTTCAGGACGAAGGGGGGGAAAGGAAAAGGAATAGGGTTTTACTCTGGAAGAGATCACAACACAGCCAGGAGGCAGGAAGCTAGCAGAGGTGACACCACCAGACTCACAGAAGTCGGGACCCTGCACCTACGAAATCAACTTTTACTCACATTCCCCTTCAAGCCCTCACATATCTAGAAAGTCAAGGAGGAGGACAGAAAGACAACTGAGGCACAGATTGGGGTCCCCACAAATTAGGGGTGACCTAGGGAATAAAATCCAAGGAGATTTAGAAGCCACTACCTCACCGGAAGCCAAAATTCCCCCAAATCCTGGGCTTCTTTTCCTCTGTCCCCACATCTGCCTGAGAGTAATTGCCGCCAAAGCCCTGGGTGCGGAAGTCACACTAAGAATGTGTGACAGTGGGAACAGGGGCGCTCAGGATGGTAGCCCACCCTGTCCCCTTCATAGGACTATCTCCATAAGGGGCCAGAGCTCTGAGGAACTGTGGGGAGTCAGGTTCAATATCCAACTTAAACAATCTCCAAACCGAAAGCCATCTGCCCAAGTCACAAGCAGAAACCCAATTTCCAACAGCCCCAACGCACATCCCACCATTCAAGTGAGCCTGGTGCTCAGGAGGTGAGCAGTCAGGAAGGGGTGGCAGGGGCGAGGGCTGCAGACAGCAGGAGAGAAGTTAGCTTGGTCACACAAAGAGGCAAAGCAGACAATGGAGCGTGCCAGTAGCTACCTGTGTGGAGACTAGAAAGGTGCTTCAGTGGGAGGGTCTCAGCCTGCCACGCTGGGCTCCTGAGACCCCGCCGGCCCCGGGAGGTTGGTGATCTGGTCCTGGGATCAGCCTCCACTCTGCTCCTGCTCCAGTCCTGCCAGGGGTCCAGAGCTACAGAAAGCCTGTGCTCAGGAGCAGAGGGCAGCCTCGGGGCAGCCAGTGATGTCACCAGCCATGAGCAGAGGAGAGAGGAGGAGGGAGGTGTTCGTGGGGCTGACTGGCCCTGAGGCAAGGCGAACCCCAGCCAATGACTCAGTGTGTCCCTCCTTCCCCAAGGTGGGAAGCCCTCACAGCCCACCTTGTGTGCACCTGCCATGCTGAGGCAGGCACAGAGCCCCTGCACCCCGAGGATACCCGCTCAGGATATTCTTGAAGGAATGGGGGTACTGTGGCCAGTGGGGAATTTCAGGCTGTCTGCAAGGCTTTGAATGCACAGAAACTCAAAGGGGATTTAAAGAACACCAGACACAACTTCCCAGGCAGAACACACATGTCTGGGTTTCTAGGTCAACTCCTGGCACATGTGTGAATTAGGACAGAAGACAAGTGGGCATATACTGCTGATGCCGAAGTACCAGGCAAATCGACTCCTTGACCTGTAACTGGATGAGGATGCGTGTGGAAGAGGATGCTTGCGGCACCATGTCCACTCTCTCCATACCGAGTCCTCCCCAGACCCCCGCTGGTTCCTTGACTCCAGAGTATAAACAGCCATGAGTTCTTGTTTGGGGACTGGGGAACCCTGGACATCAGAACCCGAGCAATGGTGGAGATAGCCTGGTGGGGGTAGCTGAGGCAGTGGTGGCAGTAGGAATGAGCCTGGAGGGCATTTAGGTTGTGGATGGGGAGTTGATGAGGTTTATATTCTCCCATCTTTAGAGGTTAAGGGAATCTGTTCCCCTAGGGACTTGGTACTTTGAGACTCCAAGTTATGAATGACACTCCTGTTTCCACACAGGACTCCACAGGTTGTCTGGATTCTTGCTGGATGGGGTAAGCCAGTCTCTGGAAGGGTGATTCCTGTGGAATGGGATGCTGGCAGCGAGCCCCGCACCCAGCACCTGGATGCTTTGTTACCACTAAAGGTCTTGCTGGGCAGAACACTAGTGGGTGTGAGGAGTCAACATGGAAAGTCTTGGGGACCCACTCTCCTTGCTTTGATTGTGTGAAACCGCCACCAAAGTCACACTGAGTGTTGGGGGAGTAAGACCTGATCCAAAGGGGCAAGAATGAACCGCACTAGTAAATGACTAGGTTTGGGGGGAATGGGGTTGGTGTGGTATATTCAGCTTTAGCCTATGGCTGCAAACTCATTGTCAAAGCAAGGCCATGAACATCACACAAGTGGGTTGCCAGCCTCACTCCCACATATACTTCCCTCCTCTGCCAGCCTCCTCCAGGGTCCTCAGGTGGCCCCAGGCCCCAGGGCCCAAGGGGCTACTACCGCAAGTGCTTTCAGCACCAGGGGCAGGATAGCACAGGCCCTTCAGCCTGTTCAGCACACTCAGTTCCAGGGCTGCTGGGGACTGCTGGTCTCTGCTTGGTCCTGACTGGGCCAGAAGAGACCCCAAGGAGGTCATGTGTCTCCCTGCTCTTAGTCCTCCTTTCCTGCCCCATCCCTTCCTGCTGGCTCTGTCCCTGCATCTGAGGGCACAAGGCTCCTTGTCCCAAATGGCTCTTCCCATAGACAGATGCACTAGGGTGGAGATAGGGGTGCCAGGGGGAGAAAGGACAAGCCCTGGCAGATGGTGGTGGCAGCGATTTCCCCCATAAACTCCCCTCTCCCCCCGCCTTTATAACACACTCTTGGGTCTGAACAAACAGGCTTTCCATCCAGGGGTGATGGGGGAGGGAAAGGAGAGGAAGGGCCTGGCAGGGGGGCCTAACCAGCCCAAAGGCTCAGCCACTCAGCCCTCTGCCCAACACACCAGACTGTTTGAGGAGCAAATATCCACCTTAGCTGTCTGACTCTCTCCACGGCCCCCACCAGGTTTGAGGCTAATTGTCCCTCATTAGCCGGGCCCAAGCCTCAGGCTGCTGCCAGCCCCCGCCATCTGCTCACAATTACACATTAACTCAAAGGTCTTGCCACCCAACAGCCTGGCCGTGCGCCCCTCTCCAGAGCCAGCCGTGGCCATTCCCGCTTGTCCTTCACCAGCCCTGGGAAGCCTGACCTCTGGCTTCTCCTGCCCTTGGGACCCTTTAGGGAAAGCCTGCTGTCTGTCTGGAAAGATTTATCTACAGGAGTGCTGGCTGGAGCGCCCCTGCCCTCCTCCTGAGGCTAGAAGATAAGACAAGCCCGCGCGTAAAGCTGGAGAGCGCACGACGCGGTAGCCTGGAGGCCCAGCCGCGGTGACCTAGGGCTTCCTTAGGCTTTGGGCCCTTACCAGGGGAGGTGGCACCTGTTTCAGGCTGCTTCCACGACTCCCTGTGGCACCTTTAGTGAGTGGTGGGGTTCTGGCTCCCATCTCCCCTCGGTCCAGAGAGCCTCCCTCTCCTACTGGCAGGGCTCTCCAGGGCGCGCAAGGAGCGCCCCTCTCAGAAAACACTCCTGCCGCGGGAGTCGCCTAGTTATAAGTCCCAGTGGCTTCCTTGCCACAGAAATGGGGGACTCTTCAAGTTCCCTAGATGTTCCTAAGCTTGGTGCTGGAGCTGCAATTCCCCCACCCCAAAGCTCGAAGCAGTCACCCCATTCTCCCAGTCCAGACTGTTAACACCGGCAAACCTCCGCTCTCCGGCTCAGCTTCGCGAGAGCTGGCTGCGGGCTCCCTCCCTCTAAACGCTCTGGGGCGGGGAAGCGACTGAAGAACGCGAACTCCCAACCGTGGCTTTGAACTGGGGACTGAGCAAAAGTGTCCCCTCCTCCCCACTTTATCACCGTGGGTTCCTAAACTCTGGGCAAAACCCTGCCTCACCGACTAGCCTTCGCCAGTGGAATGGTGAGTCTGCGCTCTCGTAAACAGTCCCCCACGGAGCTGGGAGTTCAGGGCCGAGGCCAAGGGCCCAGGACGCGGGAGAAGACGCCCGGGGAGCCGTGAAGAAGTGGCTGGGAGGCGCTCAGCCCCGAGCCCCCGCAGCCAGCACTGGCACCTCCGTCCACTGCCCACTGCCCACTGCGGGCCGGGGACTGGCACGAGGCT